ACTATCAGTGAAGCTTATAGAAGCAATCTGCTTGCTTCCACCATTTCTTTCACAACTCTCCTTTTCTGTTCCAAAACCAGACCAGGATCTGGTTTCTGGACAAAATTCTTCACCGACTCCTTAACTTTTACAGTTTGCCAGGAGTTTTTCCTAACAGCAGGAATTCGTGGAGGAATTCTAGTTAACTGGAATAAAACAACTGTGGAGATACAGAACTGAATGGTAAACTACTTTGTGTGGAAGGAAAAGAAAAAATACAGCATTGTGAAATATCCCAGTCTAAGATTAGGTATGAATCTTGATACAGTATTTTCCTAGGGGACCTAAGATGGTGGATTATTATGTGTCTTTTCCCTCTATAAGACTGCAGAAAGATTGCTGATTTTTACCTCTACAAAAAGAAAGAAAAAAATAACCCTACATTGACAGGCAAAGGTGAGAAAAGCTTTTATCTGCAATCCAGATTCTACCAAGATAATAGCATAGCACTGGACAATGGGGACCTATATGATGTGACTGTTCTTACTATTTCTTTGCTCAGAAGTAAAATAATAGAATTTCAACCACCATGATTAGGCTTCATTATCAGCATAACTACATAAGCACAATGGGAACTTTTTGCTTCCCTTCTTTCTATTATTTTGGACTATCTATAAAGGTAAGTGCTTAATTTTTAGCTCATGTTCTACATGACTTCAGAATACAAATGGGAGATGATTTCCCAGCCACTGCACATTCCTAATGAAATACTCCATATAACGGATGTCACAGACCCTCTCTGTGGACCAACTAAATCACCCTCTGTCTGTATGAGCGTGATTCACTTTTCTTCTGTTTTCTCAGCACACAAGTATTCTGATATCCACATTGGGTGCAGTGATCCGGCAGAGCTCACTCTGTCTTTTGCGTAAAAGGAACTGCCTGTGAGGGGACAGCTTGTGATTGCAGAGGGGAATCACTGCTGGGAACATGGTCTGACCAGAAGGGGACTCACTGTGGTATGCCCATGGGCATGCCAAGTCTCTCCACCAAGACTGTTATTTCCAATTACTGGAATAAATCATTGGGACTTTGTCACCAAGACTAAGGTTGATTACTATTTGAGTGAATCTATTCTGAGATTGAAACTGGACCCATTCCCACCTCATTTTATAAATGAGAGGTTAAAAAGATGTGGCTGGGAGTGCCAGATACAGATTAGGTAGAACACAGGATGTTTTAACCTCATGGATATATGTATAGCAGGCTTTCAAACATGTCTGTTGAAATATTTGTCAATAGCACAATCTAATTGGTCCACCCAGAGACAATGAATATGCTGCTTAGATAGTTAACAGCAAAATCTGTCTTGGAGCTCAAAGGCAATTGGGTATTTCAGGCTCATTCCAGACTTTAATTTTGCCAAGATAAACACATCATAGTGGGAAAATCCATATATTGTTTCCACTTTGTAGAATATAGAACTTTGGCTGAGAAGGACCACTGGAAAGACATGATTGTCAAGATAAACCTACTTAAAATAAACAGACTGGCATGGTATTTCATATTTTCATTCTTTTCATCTTTCTATAGATATTTTTTTCACATACCCAGAGCAAGACACTATGGTATTATTAAGAAAAAGAGAAGTTTTGATTTTTATGATTTTTTTTTTTTTTTGTGGTTATGGATATGGTTCTGGGCAACCCAACTGGTTGAAGATGTCCCTGCTCATTGCAAGGGGGTTGGACTAGATAACGTTTGAAGGTCCCTTCCAACCCTAACTATTCTGTGATTCTATGATTCTATGATTTTATGTACTAAGAGAAATTCAAATAAGACCATTATTAAAAATCTTTCTTCTTTTTAAACATGCTTTATTTAATTGAACTCACTGACATTAAGACCTCATTTGTAAAGAAATATTATTCATACAGGCATAATACTGTCACCATAAAAAGTAAATGTGCTGACACGTTTCTTCTGTCAGTCTAAATCAAGTAGACAAAAAACATTAAAGACTTTTTCCTTCCCCTTGCAATTAATTGACTTTATACAGCAAAGTATCAAAACAGACAGACCAAAGCATCAATACAGACAGACTGACCATAAAAAAATTTAGATCGAGCAAATTGTCCTGACGTTAAAAGGTGCACAGCTCTGCCACTGGGGCAGAATTGCATGTTGGTGGAGGCTGGGAAGTGACAGGCTGAGCAGTAGCTTCATTCAAGCCAAAGCACAGGCTGAGCAAAGCCCTAAGCAGATTGTGAGCTTTCTATAGAAAAAGAAATAAATACATTTGCTGGCTCTGTCACCTCAGTGAGGACTCTGTACTTTTTCTGCTGATGTCAGAAAGTATGGTAAGTATTTACACACAGGTTTTTTTCACCCTCTCACTTCTAACAGTAGTTATATGACGTATCTATTTTTCAGGTTCCTTCTACTTAGCATTAATGAAGGTTTAATATCAATCTCTATGACAGAATGACTGGACTGAGTATTTTTCCTTCATTTATTTGGATTAATGAAAGTGACTATGGCAGAGTCTGACAGCTTTGCCAGGGCCCTGAAGCTTTCTTCAATGAAATGTGTTAGTAATTCTAATTATTTCTCTGATTCATTGTTATCTTTCATACACATTTCAATACTCTCATATCATTAAGGATGCCAATGCTTAGAAAACGTTTCTTAAGTACTTCTGACTCAATGAAAATCTTTCTCTTAGCCAAACGTTTAGCTTGACTGGAATGATAATATCTCTGTACTTGACAAGTTTTTGCTATTTGTTTGAAGTATTTCTATCGTGATAGAGTACAAAGTAAAATTCCATTACTGCAAACCAAATCCTCAAGTACTTTTTTAGTTGTTGTCTGACAATGGTAATGCTTAAGTGTGAATTGATAAAAAGCCTCAGAAATTTAAAAATTATAGTTATTTAAATAATAGAAGTTAAGTTATTGTATAAGTTTTTGTTAATGTACACCACTGTATTTTATTTGTGCTTGTATTTTTTCTGTGGATGATATGCATGTAACAATGTTGTAAAAGCTCAGGTTCATGTGATTATAATATTTCTTATTACTGTTGCTACTTAGTGATAATGATGGTGCAAAGAATTCACTTTTACTGCTTTGCAATTCTGTAGTAATAAAATGGAATTTAGTTTTCATTACTTTTATCTTATGATATGCATGTATTAGTCCTTGTTGTTATTGTCCCACTTCAGTGCATTCCCTGGTTCAAAGAGGGGAATATGCTGAAAACTGTACTTTCTTAATTTTTCTTTAAGCAAAATGCGGTATGGAAACAGAAGTATAACTAATCCTTGCTATGTGTTTGAGACAGTGACTGTTGATTAAGAGTTTCTAACCTCCAGTGTGTAACAGAATTAAATGGTGTCTATCTTTCTATAGAGAGAAGAGATACAGAGCAGCCCTGCGGAAAAGGACTTGGGGTGCTGGTTGACGAGAAAATGAACGTGAGCCATCAGTGTGCGCTTGCAGCTGAGAAAGTCAGTCGTATCCTGTGCTGCATCAAAAGGAGCGTGCCCAGCAGGTCGAAGGAGGTGATCCTGCCCCTTTATTCTCCTCTCGTGAGACCTCACTTGGAGTATTGTGTGCAGTTCTGGTGTCCTCAACATAAAAAGGACATGGATCTGTTGGAACAAGTCCAGAGGAGGGCCACGAGAATGATCAGGGGACTGGAGCACCTCCCATATGAAGATCGGCTAAGAAAGTTGGGGCTGTTCAGCCTGGAGAAGAGAAGGCTGCATGGAAACCTCATAGCAGCCTTCCGGTATCTGAAGGGGGCCTATAGGGATGCTGGGGATGGACTCTTCATTAGGGACTGTAGTGGTAGGACAAGGGGTAATGGGTTAAAACTTAACCAGGGGAAGTTTAGATTGGATATAAGGAAGAAATTCTTTGCTGTTAGGGTAGTGAGGCACTGGAATAGGTTGTCCAAGGGGATTGTGAATGCTTCATCCTTGGCAGTGTTCAAGGCTAGGTTGGACGAGGCCTTGGGTGATATGGTTTAGAGTGAGGTGTCCCTGCCCATGGCAGGGGAGTTGGAACTTGATGATCTTAAGGTCCTTTCCAACCCTAACTATTCTATGATTCTATGATTCTATTTCTTCTTTCTACCCAAGATGAACATGGACAAGTACTGAAGTACAAGCAAACAATCAGAAATACAGTTTGACATACAAATCCAGGAGCAATACAGTGAGAACATATCAGCATTTTACATGTACACACAGATCTCCCTTTGATCTCCAGAACACTTTGTAACATCACCTGTCCTACACTGAAATTCCCATTTATTACATCAGTCCCAGGCTACAGTCCAAGAGTTGTGTTAGGACACACTGTGAATGATGGGTCAGGTATGCAGTTAGAAACTACCTTAGCTTTGTTTTCCCATAAAATATCTTGAGACATTCCAATTCACACATATGAATTTGGTCATTGCTCTTACATTTATTGACTTCATACACAACGGATTGACCCCTGGCTATGTGTTTGAGGAACATTACCCATTCAGCTTTTTCAAGTTGGAAGGAAATTTGTCGGCATGTCACATTTCGCTGCCTTGGGATATATAGAATCATAGAATGGTTAGGGTTGGAAAGGAGTTTAAGGTCACCTGCCATGGGCAGGGACACCTCTTACTAAACCATGTAACCCAAGGCTCTGTCCAACCTGGCCTTGAACACCACCAGGGATGAAGCATTCACAATTCCTTGGGCAACCTGTTCCAGTGCCTCAACAGCCTCACAGTAAAGAACTTCTTCCTTATATATCTAACTTGATCTTCGCCTGTTTAAGTTTGAACTCATTACCCCTTATCCTTTCACTACTTGAAATAAATCCCCATATGGCATTTTAGTAGAACCCATGATTACATGATGTGTTGTTTTAAGGGGTCCTTTCTAATACAATACCTCCAGCTACTGGTCCAAATACCAAGGTCAAAGCTGCTTTAGCAATATGGCCTATGAAATAATCAATGTGGCTTATGAAAAAGCTTCTGTTCGGTGGTGACACATTTGACATATCCACATAAGCTATGGTATTTAACCAGCTTCCAGCATCACAGAACAAACCATAGATATAGCTGGATGTAACAGACTGATGGTGATTTTAACACAGACAGCATCCTTAAAGAAGCCAGTTATGTCTAAAACCAGAACTGGTGGTTCACACTGTTGGTTTCCCAGCTGTGGAACAGGCCAGCTACCTGTTAGCTTCAGTTTAATAATCCTTCTCACACTGTAGAAACACTTCTTCAGTGCACAGGTCTCAGGAGCACCCAGAAAAGCCTATGGCTGCTCAGTCACAAAGCTGAGGAAACACCCTGCTGTGGGAAGGCAGCAGCCAGCAGTGGAGCTGTTTGGACATGCTGCTTCATACCAGTTACTTACCAGGGAGCACTGACATTCAAGATTTCCACTTTGATGTGAGTCCCAAGGAGTTTGAAGGTCACCCCAAAGGAAAAAGCACCTGAAAACAACACATAACCAGGTTTAGCTGAGTATGGCAACCAGTGTGTCAATTCTGCTGCTTATATTGGTGAAATCCTCTTCTCCACAAACAGCCCTCTTTGGTGTGTTACTTTGGGTTTTATAACTGCTATGAAGTGTAACCTTTAAACCTTTATGTGTTTTCCTGAAATTACATTTCTATCTGGGAGCAGTGGCATAAACTTTGTTTATTTGCCACTGCAATCATACACTCCCTCTGCAACTGCTGCTCTCCTTAATGCTCTTTTGTCCACCCAGAAGTGAGAATAATATCCAGAGACCTGTGCCACAAGTTTCCTCAGTCCAAACACAAGCAACAAGGGGGAAAATACTACTCATTGTATCACATCAATTTCCGAGTGCCACAAGGCAAGGCAGGAAGCAGCAGCATCCCAAGAGAGGCATCTGGGAAAAGCAACAGCTCCTGAATCCCACAGTTTCAAGCTGCTGTTTTGCAAAAGTACCATGGATAGTATGATTACCTGGAATCTTTGCCATGCTGCCTCTCCTAGCCCCTTCTGACTTCTAATTACATTTCACTTCTAAGTTACAAAAGAAAACATAATCTAGCAGCCCCCTGAGATTACCTGTATTGGCCTGATGGCCCATGCATTGTTATCATTCTGCAGTACCCTGACATTTTTTAGAACCAGAAACCTCACAAATTTTTCACGTACATAAACTAATCATTTTATTGGTGTTTATACTTGCTTCTTGAGGGAAAGTGATTAAGAGTAAGGTGTTTTTTTGCTTTTTTGTTTGTTTGGTTTTTGTTTTTTTTTTTTTTTTAATTAGGTCATGAAAACATGATTTGTACAGAGACTTTCAGAAATGCTTTTTTGAAAGCCAGATAGATGTACTTGGATTTCAGGTGTCTGCAATAAATTATATTCGTAACCTTATGAAAAAAACCAGAAACTCCCTGAAAACACCACTGTCTTGTTTTCTGAATAAATCAGCAACAGCCTAGGAAAACCACAGGTTCATCATGCCCACATTTAAAAGCAAAAATTGCTAGCCCCAAGCAAGTTTAATTAAACTTACAGAAGAGAGTACAATGTAGGAGAAATAAGTCAGGAAGGAACAATGTAAAACAGAATTGCTTCTTGACAATAGTCCAGGAAAAGCAAGGCAAGTCTGAACCCAGTCATTAATGATATCAGGGAGGAGATGGGACTGTGAAGGGTAACAAAGTCATGGGAAAAACAAGGACATCTATTATCCAAACATAGCTGCAGAGCATTCCTGTTGGTTATTTTGTGAGGAACGCTACTTTTCCACAAGCGGTTTGTGGTACAAAGAAGAGGTTAGGCTCTAGTCTTAGCCTTTTTGTACATACTGTTATTTAGCCAGTAACTCTCTGAAAAATATGAATTATTCATGTACTCTTTAAAAAAATTTGGCTTTCTGGCACTTAAAGCAGATGTTCCAACATAGCTCTTTTGCAGTGCTGATTGCTTGTTCCGTGTAACACAGGGGCATGAGTCACGCTGACTTATCAGGGTTAGGGTCTAGAATTTTATATTGGTTATTAGTTTGCATAACATCTGCAAGGTCATTCTATAACCAAGATCCATAAAATAAAATGGGTTTATCTTCTTCAGTTCCTCTCTGTTTTTTTGATGATATTTCAAGAATTCTAGTTACATCAGAATTAACTTTCAGTAAGAAGTAACTTTTCCTTCTTTAAGCTCCCAAATGCAGGCTTTATCATATCTTCCTATCTCATGTTGCAAAACCTTATTCTTAAAATCAAACTACGTCTCCTGAGATGTTAGTTCTTCAGTGTAATAATCTTCAAACAAAAACTGTAGAATTCCTGGACAACAAAATCATCCCCAAACTCTGTAAAGGGAACTTGTTAAAAAAAAAAAAAAAAAAAAAGTGACTTAAGAAAAATTCTGCTCAACCTATGAGAAGGGTCATTCAATCATGCAACACCTATTGCTAAGTGCTTTCATCAATTCTTTGAACTCATGTGTCAATTATTTAACTTTCTCTTGGGTTCTGTGGTACTGAATGTTTTTCATTCAAATAATGTGGTAAACCTTTTCCTTGTGCAGCTAAATTTCCTCATTTTAGGGGTGCTGAAGACTAATGTCTGTTTTTCTGTATGTGTATGAGTTCTGCTTTTGGCTTCCTGATATTTCCATCCCTGCTGGATACTGTGAAGCTTTTTCTGCTACTTCTAGCTCCTTCCCTGACAGTTTGGATATCTTTTTGTTTGGCTGTCATTAAACCACTAATGACACAGCTGCCAAACTATGAATACATATATTGATTTCTTTTTACTTTGAACTTTTCCCATACTGTCTTTGAACTTTTTATATTTTTCTTTGTCATACTTTCCTTTGAAACTGTCCCATACTGTCCAATTTACTTGTCTGAGTTAAGCATGATATTATAGTTATTAAAGTGCGGACCATTCATATTTGCATGCATTGATTCAGAACACTGCTGCACATGGCTCTGTGTCAGCCTGAATCCAAAGTCAGAGCAGATACTAGAAACAAGCCTTTGTGGCTCTCACAAACCTGCCAAAGGCAGACAAATCTCTCTTGTGGCACTTCAGAAACATGAGCAAACAGCTGCATGAATTGAACTGTTTGAAGCAAAGCCCTTTAAGCAGCATAGACACATCTCCTCTTCCACAGAGATGAACAAAAAATTGCCAGGGGAAATGTGCAATCCCAAGGTAAGACAGCATTTAAGGAGGACGAAGTGCAGACAGATGGCTGCAGAGCAGATAGTGTGAGGGCAATCAGGAAAGACCAAATAATCAAACTTACTCCCAGAAGAATGAAGACCAAAAGAAAAAAGCCTATAGACAGCAGCCTGGGGAAGCCATGAGGGAGCCTGGGTGGACTGAAACATATCTGCCAGCTCTCAGGACAGTGGAGAGTTTTCCGTACTGGCCCAGCAGACCTAAAGGGTTCAGACTCTTCCCACTACCTTAGGCAGAACAAAAATAACACTGCCAATATTTTCATTTCCTCTGTGTTTCATAATTATAGTTGCCACAAAATTAACTCTTTTATAACATCAGGATAGGCAGTTTTATGAAATCCAAGTAACAGTTTAGGTCCCTAACTTGAGTCAGACTTCTAGCCCAGTACTTCCAGGAAAGCTGGTCTGTCTGGTGCTCTCAAGATAGGGGACGTTCATGGCTAAAAGCAGTAGCACCTCATATGTCAGCATGTCTTTTGGTGGCTGGTATCTCTGCAGGAATATGGCAGCTATTTCAGTGCTGTTCTCACACAGGAAGATATGCCTTCCGTAACCTGCCATGCTGCAGCCCTGACAAACTTATTCAGGAGAAGTCCTGTCCTACCTTGGGTTTGAATCTCCTCTCCAGGGATCAGGAACAAGCATGAAACAGAAGGAAAACCTTCCCTGCCACTGCTTTGTAGCCTGGACTCTATGCAGACTTTTGGACCTCCGCAGGTACTGCAAATCAAAAAAATAATGACTTTTCTCCTTTCATTGCTGTTACTGTTGCCAAGGAGAAAAAATCTGTTTCCTGTACAGAGAATCACTGAATGGTTGAGGTTGGAAGGGACGCCTGGAAAGTCATCTTGTCCAACACCCCCGTTCAAGCAGGTTTGCCCAGGACCGCATCTAGATGTCTTTTGAATGTTGCCTTTTGTCCTGTCACTGTCTCCTCTGCCAGGCATTGAGAACAGTCTGCTCTAATGGCAGACAGGTATTTTCCCCTCATTTATTTTTCTCTTATCTTTGCTCACAGGAATTTTGAGGGAGTACATATACCAACTTTGTTTGCTTATCCCTCTAGCCTCCTTTAATTACTTATTAATAATAAGGCCATTCTATCAGCCCTGTCTTCTTCAGTGAATAAACAGATCATGACATCATCTTGAAGGCACCAAACATGCAACATGAGTTTCTTAGTGTTTTTTCTCCTTAAGCCACCTGAAATACCTCTAGCCTGCAGCAGAATCTCCCCAGGGTTATGAGGCACTGCCCACCCAAGGCATAACTCTACAGACCCTTGTTTTCCAAAGTCACCTTCACTTCCAGAGCCCCTAAGGACTGTTCCCCATCTCAGCCCTAGGAAAGACCAGTGGGAATGCAGCACTGGAGCACTCCTGGAGTAGGAAATAAATCAGTTCATGTGCTCTAAATACAACAAGCCCTATTTGGGGATCAGAGACATGATTTATGAGGTGTCCATCAAAGTAGCTGTAATTCTGCCAGAGTTAAAACCAGAGGCGCATAGATGGCAGCAAACGTATCAGAGATATCACACAGACATTTGGAAATAGGATGTACAAAGTATCAAATACTCAAGCTGTGGGAACTATTTATGGTGACACATGCACTGAAATACCATTGCAGGCAGCTTTCAGTGTCTCAGTACAGCTGCTTTCCTTCTGACTGAGATCACTACTTGCACCACTAATTGTCCTGAGGACAGGACAATTGAGATGAATCTCTACAAAACAATAGAATAACTTAAGTGCCACTAGACATTTTTATCTCCAGCTAGCTGAATCACATATCAAGGACCTATTTCCAGTCTTTCAAGACTTGCCACACACTGCTTGTGGAGTGTGATGGTGGCAGAGGGTGATGCCTGAGGACTGGAGGAAAGCAAATGTCACTCCTGTCTTCAAAAAGGGCAAGAAGGAGGACCCGGGTAACTATAGACCGGTTAGCCTCACCTCCATTCCTGGGAAAGTAATGGAATACCTTATCCTTGGTGCCATCTTAAGGCATATCAAGGATAAGAGGGTTATGAGGAGCAGTCAACATGGCTTCACCAAGGGGAAGTTATGCTTGACCAATCTCATAGCCTTTTATGAGGAAATAACACGGTGGATGGATGATTGCAGAGCGGTGGATGTGATCTACCTTGACTTCAGCAAAGCGTTTGACACGGTCTCCCACAGCATCCTTGCAGCTAAATTGAGGAAGTGTGGTCTGGATGATCGGGTAGTGAGGTGGACTGTGAACTGGCTGAAGGAGAGAAGCCAGAGAGTTGTAGTCTATGGGGCGGAGTCTAGTTGGAGGCCTGTATCTAGTGGAGTGCCTCAAGGGTCGGTACTGGGACCAGTATTATTTAATATATTCATCAACGATTTAGATGAGGGAATTGAGTGTACTATCAGCAAGTTTGCTGATGACACTAAGCTGGGAGGGGTGGCCGACACGCCAGAAGGCTGTGCTGCCATCCAGAGGGACCTGGACAGGCTGGAGAGTTGGGCGGGGAATAACTTGATGAAATATAACAAGGGAAAGTGTAGAGTCCTGCATCTGGGCAGGAACAACCCCAGGTTCCAGTATAGATTGGGGAACGACCTGTTAGAGAGCAGTGTAGGGGAGAGGGACCTGGGGGTCCTGGTGGACGACAGGGTGACCATGAGCCGACACTGTGCCCTTGTGGCCAAGAAGGCCAATGGCATCCTGGGTTGTATTAGAAGGGGGGTGGTTAGTAGGTCGAGAGAGGTCCTCCTTCCCCTCTACTCAGCCCTGGTGAGACCTCATCTGGAATACTGTGTCCAGTTCTGGGCTCCTCAGTTTAAGAAGGACAGGGACCTGCTGGAGAGAGTCCAGCGCAGGGCAACTAAGATGATTAAGGGAGTGGAGCATCTCCCTTATGAGGAAAGACTGAGAGAGCTGGGTCTCTATAGTTTGGAGAAGAGGAGACTGAGGGGTGACCTTATTAGTGTATATAAATATATAAAGGGGGAGTGTCACGAGGATGGAGCCAAGCTCTTCTCAGTGGCAAACAATGATAGGACAAGGGGAAATGGGTACAAACTGGAACACAAGAGGTTCCACTTAAACTTGAGAAGAAACTTCTTCTCAGTGAGGGTGACGGAACACTGGAACAGGCTGCCCAGGGAGGTTGTGGAGTCTCCTTCTTTGGAGACATTCAAAACCCACCTGGACACGTTCCTGTGCAACCTTATCTAGGTGTTCCTGCTCCGGCAGGGGGATTGGACTAGATGATCTTTTGAGGTCCCTTCCAATCTCTAACATACTGTGATACTGTGATACTGTGACAGGATCTGTTGACACAAGGCAACTCAAGTCTTGAAAATAATGGAGGTGAGGATATGAACTTTAATGATAGAGGCCCTAGGATGCAATATCAACACTTCCATTCCTCCTCTGAGTTACTATGTTGAGTATAATCATTCTTGCTAATTCTACCTATACTAGGAATAAATCAGCTTTCTAGCTTCTCTGCAACTAGTAGTGAGTACTGACTTAGTTTTATAACAGGTTTGAGTAGTTCGATCTGTCTGTTTATTTTACTTGCACTTTTCCCAGAACGCACACTGCTTCAGGGAGTGCTGAAAGACTGATGAAAGAAGAGATAATGTCTTACTTCTAGTCACTGCGCGTAGATGACTAAAACCTCAGGCTTCTGGAAAAATTAATTTTGGCAACATTTTGACAATCCTTCTCACTTCCTGACAAGTCTTCATATCTGATGCTACGTAGATAAGAAGTAAAACAACAAATAGCATATTTTTTGTTCAGTATTCCTCAATTCCACCATTTTCATGTATGAGTTTTTTTTGTTACTATTAAAAAAAAAAGGAAAAAAAAAGAAACCCAAACAACTCCAGTGACTAAAATATTTCCTATGGTTTGCATATGAAATAATATGTTACTATAGTATCCTGCCTTTCAAATAGTTACATACAAGCTTGGCTAGCCTAATGAAATCATGTATATTAACACAAAATAGCTAGCAACAGAAAAGAGTTTTGTTAGATGTCCTTAAACTATACCCTAAAAATCCTTTTAGTTAGAATGAGCTACTATAATAATAGAGGAAATGAGCTTTTTTATTTCTTCCTTTGGGCCCTACTTCTCTAAGTTACATCATAATAATCAATGTAAATAAATACATCTACTCACTACAGGACGGCTTCCCTTGAGTTTAATGGTTCAAACAGGTCTAGGTATACAAGGAAATGGTATTTTCAGTGGGATGAGCTCTTGGAGAGACCAGTCTACAGGAATACAATTTTATACTTACATATATAATCTACAACAGGAAGGTAACTTAAGCTTGATTTAGTGTTGTACATAGTACAAGTAATTTTATAAATTATTACTGTATGATATACAATAATCATTAAAAAAATGAGACTGGAACACTAAATCAGATCTCTTGCACAGTACACATTTCAAATTTAATCAAATTTTTAGAGCTTTTAGTTTCCCCCCAAAGAAAAGATCTAATGTTAATTGCCAAATATCTGCCAACACCAAGTTCTTCCAGTGGTTACTTAATCTTTCAGTCAAAGAAATACTGTTTTTCCTCTGTAAATGTCAAGATGCAAGTTACAGTTCTTGGGTTATGTGTCTAACAGATTGAAGAGCCCTCTGTGACTAAATTCATGCTCCAGAATCAAATACTTCTTAATATACGCTAGACAATCATTCATTATTCAACATTTTTAAAAATACAAAGGTCAGTGCTTCCTGAGCATTTCCAGAGAAGATATGCATTCCAATCCTATGATTGTAATTATGGTTTTTCTCAGTTGATAGCCTTCTTAGACTGATGGTAAACCTGGACACAAGATTCACAAACTATGTGTTGCATAACTGCCAAATACAGAAGGAATGGATATATGATATTCAAGATTCCTGCTAACACATATTGGTATCATACTCTGAAATCTGATCACAGCTTCTCACTGGGAGGTCACATTCAGCTGAATAGAACTACAACACTCAAGTTCTTTTCTAGTGTCACAGGTTTCTAAAATCAGACTTTTCATCTTTTATATATGGTCTACATTTCTTCTACTTAATTCTACAATTTGAAATCTAAAGATACATACAGCTAGAATAGCCCTGTACAAACTAGATTACATCTACCTAGAGATAACTCACTATTGGTACTAACTGTATATTTTATTCTAGTTCAGTACTCCAGATCATAAAAATGGTAATAATTATTCCATAGGTAACTGTACTGTTCTGGGTCCCTCCACCTACACATTAATCCACTAATTTCCAGTTACTCAAACACCGCTCACAGGCTGCATCAAACACTGACTTCATCCTGAACACCAGAAGAGACTATGGGAGAACATGAAAAAAAGCAAGTTAACTTAAGGAGATGGAAAACTTTTACTGCCATTCCAGAGCTATATTTAGATGAGTAAGTGTAGAATTTTATGAATCTATCATTAACTGACAAAATATCTCTAAAAAAAAAAAAACCCCACAGAAATAAGAAATCAATGATTGTCATAATTCTTACACAAACAGGTGATGTTAACAGAAAAAGTGGTTTACTAAATAGAATTATTCTTGTTCGTAACTGTGCAAATAGCTTTTAATAGTGCAAGTCAGATGAAGTGTTTTACAGGACAAGGAAGAAAACAGCAGCTAGGTCAAACTTTGTTCTCATACGAAGCCTTTTCTGCCATTCACCTCTTGCTTGCCGCAGGTTCTTTGAGATTTATGCTTCTGCC